TGGCTTTTTGCATAATAAACCCAGAAAAAAACCTATCCGTGAACGGCCTCATAAACCCTCAAGAAACCAGCTTCGTAGACCCATCCCATTTCTTAATGATCTCAAACAATGCGAAAACCCGGCAGAAGCCCTCTCTCTTTTCCATCAATATTATGAAATGGGCTTCAAGCATGATTACCCTTCTTATGCGTCACTTGTATACAAGCTGGCTCGTGCGAAAAATTTTGAAGGCGTTGATACCGTTTTGGATGTTATCCGAAAATATGATATAAAATGTCAAGAGGCTGTTTTTATTGCTTTGATTCAGCATTTTGGCAAGGCCGAGTTGATAGATAAGGCTGTTGAGCTGTTTCGTGATATGGGTAGGTTGTATAACTGTGTTCGAACAGTTAAGAGTTTTAATACGATACTAAATGTTTTGGTTGGTAATGATCGGGTTCTTGATGCAACTGAGCTCTTTAGGGATGGTTATAAATTGGGTTTTAAATTGAACTCTGTTTCGTATAATATTATGGTCAAAATGTGGCTTGAGAAGGGTGAGTGGGATAGAGCTAGACAGGTGTTTGACGAAATGCTTGAGAGAGAGGTGGAGCCAACTGCCGTGACTTATAATTGTCAAATTGGGTTTTTGTGTAAAAGAGGTAATATCGACAAGGCTAAAATTTTCTTTGAAGATATGGTGAAAAAGGGGAAGAAACCGAATGCTGTGACATATGCTTTATTGATGGAAGGTTTATGTTCTGTGGGTAAGTTCAATTCTGCGAAGAAACTGATGTTTGATATGGAGTATCGAGGATGCAAAGCTCAACTTGTAAACTATGGTGTGTTAATGGGTGATCTTGCAAGGAGAGGACTGATTGATGAAGCTAGAGGTTTGCTTGTTGAGATGAAGAAAAGACGGACAAAACCAGATGTGGTTATGTATAATATATTGATTAATTACTTGTGTAAAGAAGGTAAAGCTGCAGAGGGGTATAAAGTGTTGGTTGATATGCAAGTTGGGGGTTGCGAGCCGAACGCTGCTACCTACAGGATGGTTGTCGATGGCTTCTGCAGAATTGGGGATTTTGAGGGAGGTTTGAAGGTTCTGAATGTGATGTTAAACAGTAAGCATTTTCCTCGTATGGAGACTTTTTGTTCTTTGGTTATTGGCTTGGTCAAGGGTGGGAAAATGGATGGTGTGTGCTTTGTTTTAGAGGAAATGGAGAAGAGGAATATGAGATTAGATTTAGACTCGTGGGAAACCCTGGTAAAATCTTTTTGTGAGGATCATGAAGTTGTCGCTAGGCTTTTGATTGATATTACCTCTTCTGATGGTGTCTTGGCGTAGTAGTTGTTTAAATATAGTTTGTAGAATAGTTTTTGATGCATGGCAATGTGATCCGATACGCCTACTAATTATAACTCATCGCCCTATCTTCAAATCTCACGTGTTGCTTATTTGCTTGATTCATTGATGCCTACATTTCTTTGGCCATTTTTGATGGGGCAATGGAACATCTTTTTTGTATTACAAATAAGTGGTGAAGTCAATGCCAAAAGCTTCTCACTGAGAAATAATGTACAGGGTAGAGACTTTCTGTAGTTTGCGATGATTGATTGTAAATTGGAGGCTTTGGAGCTTACAATAGTTAGCTCGGGATTCTTATTTTGTGCATTGTGTGTGATATGAAGTCGATCTCCCAAGTTATTGGTTAAACTGCGTCAATGGCAGTGGTTATCGGACTAATATCTTTTATGAGAAAATATTCCTCGTGCCACTTAATGGCAGCCATGATTTGAGTCAGGCTTATGTGAAAATTAAAGGAATAGTTTCAACGAGAACTATGTAAAAGCTTTGCTGCTTGTCAGTAAATGGAAGCCTGCATTCAAGGAATGGATTTGAGGAGTTAATGGATCAGTTGATGGCATATTGACATGTATTTAGACCTCTCAGCTCATTCTGGTGTATATCTCACATCTGCAACTTCAATTTTTTCTGTTGGGAGAATTTCTACTTATCTATGTTCATCGAGTACACAAATAAGATTGGTAAACAACTCAACTGGAAATAGTATTTCAAAAATGTCCCTAAGATTCAGTACAATTTTGCTGTTTTGGTGAAAATGTATTACTTCAATACATTTCAGAAATTCTAAATGGGAAATCTATCTTCGAGTAAAATAGTAAGTTGACAAAATTCGCCCATCAAAACTAGCTTTACAGTAAGAAAAAAGTGTGATTTTCATAATTGTGCTGTACTTTGACTTACCGTCGCAAAGGTTGTCTAATCTATTACCGTGTTGAACCACCTTTTTTTCTTGAATAATTATGTTGCAATATGAGAAATATGCGTGCATACAAAATATTGTATGATAGACATAGTCTCAGATAGAATCATATGTTGCAGAATCAAATTCCATATTTGAATTGTTGTCTGAGTTATAAAATTCTCTCTTTCCTAACTAATCTATATGTGTTTAATGTCTAAAGGTGTCCTTACTAACTCCCAACAAATATACCCACAACACTGCAAACTCATGCACCTAATCCATCTCATCAACTCCATGGATATTGCTGTATATATTACACGGACGCAAGCTGTTCTCTATCAACTCAATTCCAGAATACACAATTTCTCAAGTATCAGATAGCATAAAGATTTCTGCATTCTTGAATTCATGGCAATCTCTATGTTTCATCTCAAGGGCTTCATCCCTTTACTCATTCTAGCACTCACATTAACATGTGTAGCCTCGGCTCGAATCCTTGACGAGGAGGTGGAGGTGGCCGCCCCAGTGGTGCCACCTGAGGCATCTGATCCTGTGGAAACACCAGTATCTGGTGGAGCTGCTGGTGGTGGTGGTGCTGCTGCTGTTGCTGGTGGTGGTGCAGCTGTGGGAAGTGGTCCTGCTTCAGGCATTGAGAATCCTGATCATACACTCTCCTTCTTCATGCATGACATACTCGGTGGGTCCCGCCCCTCAGCTATTGCCGTCACTGGTGTCGTAGCCAACCCAGCTGTCAGCGGCCAGGTCCCCTTCGCCAAACCTAATGGAGCCGTCCTCCCGGTTAACAATGGCATCCCTACAAACAATGCCAACGGTGGAATTGTCAACAACAACAACATTCCCTTCCTCACCGGCCTTAGCGGATTCACCTCGAACGTAATGCAAAACAACAACGGGAACAACATAATAGGTGGTTCCCCCGGGTTCCCTGCCCTGAACAGTGCACAATTCCCTTCCGGGACAACATTCCAGAAACTCATGTTTGGGACAATGACAGTGTTCAATGACGAATTGACAGAAGGGCACGACCTTGGATCAGGCCTGGTCGGAAAAGCGCAAGGATTTTACATAGCAAGTTCAGAAGATGGAAATAGCCAAACAATGGCATTCACTGTAATGTTTACCAGTGGAAGCTATGCTGATAGTCTTAGCCTATTCGGGGTCCACCGGACCGCGGTTGCCGAATCCCATCTGGCCATTATGGGTGGCACAGGGAAGTATGTTAATGCTAAGGGATTTGCCACTGTGAAAACTTTCGCAGTCACAAACCAGCATGAGACTGATGGAGTTGAGACTTTGCTGCAGATCAATGTGTACCTTGCCTATTAGTTCACTGGAAATGTGATGTTTTATTTTGTGTGCTTATGAATTCCGTGTGAGAATTGTTATCAAATGAAAGTTTGTGATTTCCAAAAATTAAGTATACAAGTTCTTTTATTTCAGCTGTAGTTGATTGATCTTTAGTTTTGATATACACGAGTCAACTCCACTTCACGTTGCATCGCTAAATCTATGCAAAACAAAATATTAAATTCCTAGTAACCACAAATCGTCACTCTCTTAATTTATCCTCAATCAGTGTCACGTCCTTGTTGACATACATTCTCATTTCTTGTCTTCTTCGTTTTAGTATATCAAACACCTATTTTGACATTTTTTTATGTTACATTTGACATTCTCAAGTTACCATCACAGTTATGCTAGAGAGTGTTGATCATATTCCAACTTTCTCGTCTCCATTTAATTTTGTAGCATTTTTGGTTCCTGCTAAAAACATTTTCATCTTCACTGTTAAAATGTTAATTTTATGTCCTCGACTTTTTCCTCATCGTATTGTTGTTCCTAACCTTCAATTAAATAACATATTTTATCTTTAATTACGATTTTTATCCAAATATTCTTCTGACGTGCATTGAAAAGAGAGGCAAATATTTTGTTTAACTTTTGTATAAGTTATTTATTTCGATTATTTAAAAATACAATAGATAAATATGTCTTTTTTGTTCTCATAACAAACATTTTGAACGAAGATTGTCTCCATAGACATGATGTGAAAATTAATAGAGGGTTGATGATATAAGAAAAGTTTAGAGATGCACAGTGCAATTAAAATGCGGTGTAAATAACAATAATTGTAGTGTGAATATATAAGTTGGTGAACCTTATAATATTTTTTCTACCTAACAATATAAAATAAAAATAAGTAATGAATTGAATTTAAAATATAGGAAATTAAAAAAAAAAAATTACGTGCACTAAGAATATTTTTATCTTATTTATTTAAATATTTCTTTAGAATTTTTATATANGTGCACTAAGAATATTTTTATCTTATTCATTTAAATATTTCTTTAGAATTTTTATATAAATAATCACAAAGAGTTCGAACTTTTATAATTTTTGTTTTTCTAGATTTTTTTCAAAATTTTTAGAACTTTATTTATCATTTATTTTTTTTGAATTAAAATTTTTTTCTCAAAATCTTTAATTTTTAGAATTTATCAATTTTATTTTTAGAATTTTATATTTTTATTTTTTAAAATTTTATTTAAACGCTTGTTTTCCATGTTTTGAGTATTTATAGAATTTTCACTGAAAACACTTAAAACTTCAAAAATGCATTTTAATTTTTACATAATAAGTTTAACCTCTTTTTATTTTTATTTTTCCAAAAATGCATTATCAAAAATATTAGACCAAACCCGTTTTCAATGTTTTGCAAAACTGAAAACAGCAAATCAAATGCACCCCTATATTCTTTAGAAATATATATAACTGTTATTCCAAAAAAAAAAAAAAAACATAGTTTTAGCCCCTGTTTGGGCCACATTATTTGTTTCATTCTCATTCTTCTACTCATTTTCAACCACATATTTTTCAATAAAATAATATTTTCCATCACATCAATAAATTTTCCTTCATTTTCAACCACATATTCCCCATCACATCAACAGTAAAAATGCATT